CTTCCCCTTCCCCTTCCCCTTCCCCTTCCCCTTCCCCTTTCCCTTCCCCTGGCATATCTGCCCTCTGGGACTGTCTCAGATCACCTTTCAGTAGCATTTGTGCCAAGGGAAAGGAGTCTAATTTCCTCACTTCTGATAAAAAGGTATTTTGACTAGTTCCTCACTTATCACTGCAAACTCCTTCCTCACCTAGGATGTGCTGTCACTCTGCTGGGAGGCTTCCCCCTCACTGCACAGTTGAATTTAATTACACCACAGCCACCCTTATTACACAATTGAACCGCATTTGTTTAAACCGGCTCTGGTGGGTTATTCAGGAACAAGCAAACCCCACCCCTCCTCCTTCCCTTATGCTCTCTTACCTCTTCAGGTATTTTGGAAACAAGTATAAAGCCATTGTTATCAAGGAGGAAGCAATTCAGAATCTGCAGAGATGAAAGAGAATCAATATTAAAGATGGCTTTTTCCGTGTTTGCATGTGCGTGCTCAGGATGGGGCGGTGTGGGATTGTGACGATGGCAACAGCCTCGGCATTTCCGTGCCAGCCCCACGGCTCAGCTACCACGGGTTTTACACAATTGACTTTTTCCTCTCTGCCTCCATTTTGAGGTATTTAGTTCATGAGCTGTGACAGAGATTGCCTCTTGCCAGAGCTGCGTGCAGGCCTAGCAGGCTGTGAGACACACTTAAGACAAGGCATGCTTCAGGAAGAGACAGGATATTGGGAGAGCTCTTCTCTTTAATAATATGGTGTCTAATGCCTTCCATTTTTAGGTTTCAGAGTTTTATAACCACTCATGAAATAACCCTCTCCTCACCACTGAGTATCAGTGCTGATCTTATTTTTATTTTGCAGAGCAGGAAATGGAGGCACAGAGTTTAGATGAAAACCCTTAGGTCTTGCAGAGAAAAACTAGGGTGCAGAGGAAATCCTGCATGAACATACAACAAGAAATCTCTGGTGATCCCGCTCTTCAGGGCAGGAGCTCCTGTCCCAAATATTCCTGGGAACAAGGTTGAAGCAGTGGCTTAAACACAAAGAGAGGTGTCCAGCACATGTCATGAGAGTGGCATGACAACTACTCTTTCCTGTTCATCATCATCATGTTCAATATCATCTCGGATGCCAGGGAGACAGAGGAGACAGACTTTCCTTAGAGCCACTGGCTGGAGCCCCCATATCCCTGCCTTGGCCCAGCTGGCCTCTCACAGCTGATGGGAAGACCTAAACTGCAAATTTTTCTTGTTAGCATGAGGTCCTGCCCCAGCTGTGCAATCTCTTGCGAGGAAACAACAGGAAATACTTTTCTTTTGGGGAGACAGAGATCTCCACAGAGCAGGTAGGCAATCCCACCCATCATAGGTACAGAGAAGAAAGCTGGGCAACTTACATCATCCTGACAGCTGAGAGGACAGGCACCGTCGAAGGCACTGCACTGGAAAGGAAAAGTGGAGCATTAACCATGGTGTTAAGGAAACTTTCCTGTCTGATCATGCACAAGCCACTCTGGCATTCACAATCCCACTACCAGAAACTTTCCCCACTGATACTGAAGCCCCTTTGCAGCAGGTGGCTCCAGTGACCCAATGGGTTGCCACTTGACTCCCTACACACCCCACTCTCACACAAGTCAGACAAGTTTTCCCTACTGGTTTGACTCCAGGTTTCCCATAGGAGAGTCTCAGATATCCAGAACCTTAAAACAATTTATTCATGGCGCAGTAACACAGAAAGAGCTTGAGCTGATGCCTTTGAGGAGGGACCCTGAATGAAGTAAACCCTGGGCTTTTAGACCCTGACAGTGTGATAGTCTGGAATCTTCCTGGTGAGACAGTGGCTCCTGCTGTGCCTCTGGGTGGCCCGACACCTGGCTGGCCCACAGGTCCCTGTGCCCTTTGTCGTGCAAAGGGTCAGTGCCAGTTCAAGACCTCTCATCTCGGGCTCCCGCCACCCAGAGCTCAACCTGCAGCTGCACACTGAGCTACCTGCACTGAATGTATCCCTCAGCACATGGCATGATTTCATCTTACAGCCTCCCCCTTGGGACTGCTGAGCTAAAGGTCTCCGTAACAGCACCCCATAAAGCTCTGCAATTAAGCTGGCATTTCTTTGACGAGCTCTACAGCAGGCACAGGTACCACCCCAAAGTTGGCCACTCGGTAGCTTTTCGCATTCTCTACCTCTCTGAGCAACATCCCCTTTGCTGAGGGCTCTGATCCTGCACCTGCCTCCCTGACATGCTTCCAGCAGTACCTCTGTGCTCCAAGCAGAGGTGCCACTTGTCAAGAAAGGGCAAAAGTGAAGGTTATTGTGCACCAGTGAGAAACCTGCATGCATTTCAGCATCTGCCAGTATCCAGACTAAGCGTATTTTAGATCAGGATTCTTCTCAGGCAGGGATATTTTTTTTGTTGTTGCTGTTGGTTTCTTTATTCTCCAGACAGCTAATGATAAAATAGGATGTGAATGGTGCTCATGCAGCCCAAGGCAACATCCATTTGTTTCATTTAGGATTTCTGTGTACCGGACCTGACATGTGTTTCACAACAGTGATCCGGGTGGGGACATGAGGGGTTAAGTGGTGAGTAACAAAGCCCTTCAGGTGCTTATTGATTTCATAATTGTTTGGAGTTTGCCCTGGCTGCATGTGTCTGTCTCTTCATGTTATTTTTTAATTCTATTTTCTCCAGCAGCAGAGGGAAGAAAGCTGACATGGTGATGCCATTTCTGTACACGGGGTCCCCTTCCTGCCAGAGGATTTTTGGGGTCAGGGAAGGACACTGGCATAGCACATAGCCTGTCTGCTCTCAGCCAGCTACCCTTTATTTTCTCAAAACCCTTAGACATAAACTCCAATCCCCTTCCTGAATGAATCTCAATAACAAGAGGTGAATTTGCCATTTCAGACCACGACAAGACCATAACTTTCAACTAGAATTTGTTTCTCCTCTTGAGCTTTGCAGAACACAACCAGTAGTTTCAGTCTGCTGTCCCTCTGCTTAACTTCAGAGGAGGCTTGGAGATGCCTGAGTTTGCCTCAAGCCCCACGGCTTTGCAATATCACATGTTCACACTCTGAATCCAGCTGGCTTTTTGAGGCTCTAGGGAGGTTGGCTTAGGAACATTCCTTTATCCACGGTTGCAAGCACTGTCTCACCCCTGCCTCACCACAAAACAGCATGTGGTTGTTTTGTTTCCCTGGATGTATTCCTAGAGGTGGCCCTGTACTTCACCCTGGTGGTTTCCTTCCTTTGGTCAGCAGAGAAATGTGGTCACAACAAACCACTATAATGGCCTTGGGGGATAACAGAGATCGGAGTTCAGATGTCAGAACAGAAACCCAGAACCAGAGTGGTTTCCCACAAGAAAGGCCTGTGTCTTACAGCATCTTCCTCAGCAGGGTGAGGACCAAGTCTCACTGCCGCTGCTTTTCCAGACCTGGAGAAGTTCTAGCAGTGCCCAGTGCTGGGCTGGCCAAAATGCAGCAGCACCACAGTGAGGACCCTGGTCTGAGAGCACTGGCAGCTTGCAGAGTCTCTGAGGTGGGGGCAGAACTGAAACTGTGCTCCCCGGTTACTCTGAAACCACATCTGCTGTCTCGGGCACAGCCCCCTCCTCAGAGACCAGACTACCTCACAGCATCCTCCTGCTGTTGGTCAGGTCTCTGTGACCCAGAGCACTTTCAGCTTTGCCAAAGACACTTAATTACTGTGAAGACAAACACAGCCTCTGACAGGTTTGGACCATCTCCAGTGACTACAGACAAGGGACGGTGCCTATAATATGCTGGCACACAAATGACACAATTACAAAGCCAAGCTGCAGCGAGGCCACGCCAGGATGCCTCCCTGTCCCCAGCTTTTGTCTACTTACATCACTGTCATTGGGCTGGGAGATGGGAGGCACAGCGTGGACATCCAGAGAGGCACAGCATGCAGTGAAGCAGGAGAGGGAGAAAGAAGGAAAAGAAAATCTGTTAGTCATTCCTCTGTCAAACGGCGGTCACGTCCTGGGAAAGCACACGCACGCTTTTTTCATACCAGCATCTACCAGGGCCACGGCCTGCAGGCACTTGGCACACAGGCCTCCTTTAGCTTCTTTAATAAGGCTTCTCAGCTTCACTTAATGCCTGTGAGGGCTTGTTTCTGTGAGAACTGTCTGGGTATGGCCCTCAGGAGATTTTTTTTTTAAATGATACTCTCTCTTGCTGCTTCAGGATGCTCTCATATGCTTTGCAGGAGTCTTTTTAGCTCAGGTTAGGTTTATGTGATCTGCCCACCTGTGAGAATGCTCCTGCCACCCCCAGACAACTCTGGGATTTTTTGTTCCCCACGTGTTCTCACTCCCGGTGAGCAGCTTCCTGCCCTCTCATCTCCTCTGTCATCCCCATCTGATGACAGTTCCCTCCCCTGACAGCAAAGAGCTGCTTCTCCTGTGTGCTGCTTTAATCCTGTCAGAATCACCCCTCCAGTAGACCTCCCTGAAAGCAAAGCCTGGGGAGAAAGCCCCTGGGCGGTAAGGGAAAGGTGTTTCACTTTTCCTGCTTCTCAGACTGGGGGAGGTGTTTAAATTATTCCACTCTCTCAGTCCAGCAAGAGTGTCCAAAATTAGGACAACACCAAAAGCCTATCCCTGGAGTAAATAATTTTTATTTTGGCAAGCTGGTAGTGTTTTGTTATCATTATCAAGATGATAAGAGAAGGCAGTAGAATTTTTTTTCTGTGTGCCCAAAATTGCAGATTTCCGTGAGGTTTCTGAAAGGCTGAATGAGCAGAAACATATTTCTACAATTAAATGTGTCATATGCAGCAGAGCTAATGCCAGGCCAGGATGCTGACACTGTCAACACGGCATTTGCGGAGCAGACTCACGGCTCACACGGCATTAGTGCCATCAAAGGATTACAGAAATGTGTGACTTCAAACTAATCTACTTCATAAATCATTTAATATGAATTTTGCAAAAGCCCTCATCAAAATGCTGTCATATGTGATGTAACATAGCATCGACCTTGCTGACAAAGAGCATTAAATTGTCTCTCTGCATGACTGCTGATGCTCCTACCTGTTGCATGGTCATCCAAAACTTGCGTTGGAGCAACTCCAGCTTAATTTGCACACCCACCGCTATGGGAAACAAAAAAGAGGGGAGGAGGAAGAGAGGAATGTGCAAGAGAGGAAAGACAAGTACAAGTTAGGAAAAGAGGAGTAAACATTTTCCCAAGGTGATGGCATGGAAATCACAATTGCAACCTGCTTCCAAGTGTGAATGATAAGCATCAGGTTATCAGCACTGAGTCAGACTGCCAAGTGAGAGTCAGAGGTTTAACAAGGGCGAGGAAAAGGGGACACTGACTGTACTGAGGTACTGAGACCTCCCTCACACTAAGCACTGTGAAGCTACAAACAAATTAACAAAAAATAAAAATTCCTCCCAAGACACCCCAGGATATCATGAACTTTCCTCTCTGTCTTTTTCAGATTTGCCTGCCAGAATGGATGTTTGTGATCACCCTGGCCCCAGATCCTGTACCACGCAGCATCAATCAGAAATAAAGTAGGCCAGTGTGAGGAAGCGATTAATTTGGAAACCCACCTGTCTCAAGGGGAAATCACAGAGATTTAGATTGCTCCTAAGCCACTACAAATGCACAGAATTATGAATGTCACTTGACAGAAAGTGTGATTAGGCATAGCGATTTGTTACCCCGTCCCGGCCTAGCACACGGTGGGCTAAGCAGAACTCCGTGTGTGTGTGTGTCTCTTAACGAAGTGTGCCCTAATTTCTTGACTTAATTTCTCTTCTATTCCCAGCATCGTGTTCCTGAAGCAAGGCAGGAGAAGAAACGGTGCAGGGTCTCTGTAACAGAACAACCCAGCTGTCCCCGGGTAGGTTGCCCACGAGCACATGTAACAACCAGTGCAGCCGTGCACAGCCTGGCACGGTGATGGGGAACAACTGGGCTGTGTGTCAGCTAGTTGAATCCTAGAGCTCTGGAGGAATTACAGCCTCAAGCAGGACCTCGAAATAGAATATAAAGTGCAAGTGAGGGAGAAAAAGAAACACAAGAGAGGGAGATTCTGAGCCTTTTTTCACAACCGCCGATATCAGGCGGATGAAGTGTTGCTGTTTCTACAGATTTCCTCTGAATTAGAAAGAGCTTCAAAGGGGGGAAGAGATCCTTTAAATCTGAATCATGCCGTGTGGGTGCTTTTAAACTAACAGTATGAACTGATGCTCTAATTCAGATGGGTATGAATTAAAACCGGAGTATGCAATGGTGTATTTTCTTGACGCATCTTGGCACCCGGCATCAGCTCTACCTTTTATACCAGTGTCCTTGTCACATTCCCACTGCTGGTACATCTTACAAAATCCCACGTATCAGAGGCACACTTCTTAACCTGCCTCTGCCTGCTGTAAACTGAATCTGACTGCCTGTACATGGGAGAAAGGAATGATTTCGTAGAGCTGCATTGCCCTGAGCCTCACAGAGCACAAACCAGACAAGACAAAGAATGTAAAAAAAGGAGGAAGGACAGAGCTGAGTCGAGCATGGGCAAAGATTCATCACCTTCAGCGAGGCTACTGCAGGCATGGTTTGGCTTGGTGCCCCTGCTGACAAATCAGCAGTCCATGACAGAAGGGAAACGGTGCTGTTGCTGCTGAGTCCAATGAGGCCCACGCACCCCATTTGGGATGCAGCTTTAAATAAATTCATTGCCATCCTTCCAAACCACCTCAAGAAAGAGCCATTCCCTTTGTCACAGCAGATCACATCAATGGGGCTGAGCATTACCCAGGACATGGAGTTTTTACGAGACCTGAAGAGGAGTGGATAACTACATAACTAACCTTGCAATGCAGAGCATACTCAGCGGCTCATGTTTTTTGCAAGTGGGAACATTTAGTCTCAAATTGTTCTTCAGAGGGATTTTAGCCCCTGGCTGTGAATCCTTGTTTCTGCCCAGGAGGCATGAGTAGCACATACCAAACCTGGACAGAGTAGCCTGAAACATGAGGAAGAAGACCTGGAAGCTTGCACGGGTGGCCAGTGGCAGGGACAGAAAGTGGAGTCTCTCAGCCCTCTTAATTCCACTTTGCATGTTGCCCACAGTCCTGTGTAACCTATCTGTGCTCTCTGACAGCAAGCCTTGTCCTTTGGATGCAATCTTTTCAGCCCTAACCTCTCCATAGGGGAGAGTGCTTGGACTTACTCATCTTCTCTACAGTAGCCCTATTTCTCCTTCCCAGTGGTCCAGCACACATTTCTAGCTAGGGGAATCCCTGGAGGTGTGGTGAGCACCACTCTCCTCCTCACATCATGGCACAGCCTGAAGAGGCTGCTGAAAGCAAAGCTGGGGTCTCTTCTGCCTCGCAGCCAGGTTTGTCTGTCTGGATGGTATCCATCACAGGGAACCGTGCTGGGGGGATGGCTTCACATTCCTGCCTGGCAGCACCACTCCTTGCCAGTTGGCATGGATTGACAGCTACTGGCAAGAACCATGAGAAAATTTCACACATTCAGGTGACCTGAGGAAGACACGGGAACTGAGGAGAAACAGGCCACAGTCACCACCCCCCCAGTGCTAGTAACAAATAGTCACCTGGGCATCTTCACGCTGTTGGTGAAGCCAAGGAGAAAGGAGGAAAACAGCACTTCAGTCTGAGGTAAGGATGATGCTACAGCTCAGGTGAGAGGGAGAAAACTGAAATAAACTCCTCCGTGCTTGCTCCACACTATAACTGATTGTTAATGAGCATTTTTGCTCTGGTGGCAAAAGTAAGCTGCATCAGTGGGAAGATCTGAGGTCTATGAAATGATGAATGGCCTCTGCAGAGTGTTCAGAGACACCATGGATAATAGTTTTATTCCTAGTAACGTGCAAGTAACCTGTGCAACTGTAGCATCCCAGAAGTGAAATAAAAGACGAGGACAAGCATTGCTGAACACCTTGCACAGGCAGACATTGCTTCACTGTGCTGACATGCTACCCACTGTAGCTGTGCACTACTTCCCACCAGCAGGCACCTTGCCTGCAAACCCATGGCTGCAGTGGGCTCTCTCTGGAGCTGTGCATGGAAATAAAAGCCTTCCCCTCCACCTGTTCATCCCTCCATTGAGCATGCCTGCTTCATTAGCTCATCCTCTGCTTGCCTCTCTTTCTGTCTGCATTCTCTGGCTTCTCTCTTTGATTTATCCATATGTTGTTCTCATAAGGAGCTTTCCCCAAGATTTAACTCTTGGGCCTGCTGCACAACAAAAAGGCATAACAAAGAGTCGCAAGATTACATCCTGCAGAGTGCTTATCAAGATTTACCTTGCTGTTCACAACCTGTTTGCATGGCAGACAGTCCAATGGTTAAATAAAAACTGTGATCAAATAGAAGAAGGTACCAGAGCAGCCATGCCCATACTGTCTGTTTGCATTTTCCATTACCTGTTTCTGAAATATTCCCATTTTCCCTCTCGAGCCAGCAGCTCGAAATTTTACTTTAAGTCCTCTAAAAATTTTACTTAAAAAACAACTTCCAGACAAATGAAAATGAACAAAAGGCCCAAACCAGCCTGTTTATGACACTGGACCTGATAGAAGAGGCAGTTCAAGTAGATCAGCAAAAGAGTAATTCCTGTAAATGTGAGCAACCGAGGTCCTCAGCAAGCTGGAGGGAGGCAAGAGACGGGTCTGATTTTGTAGGAGCCCATGGGAGAGCACAGAGGGAATACTGACAGAGGCAGTGGGCTGGATTCAGCTGTTTACTGACCCCTGTACCAGCAGGCTATGTCAGGGAGGGCAGGGAATGCCTCTGTTACTGCATGGGTGTACCCACACCCGACACTTGCACTGGACATACGGCTGAGCACAGTCTCCCTGCTGCACACAAAATTCAGGGGAATGAATGGATGCAAACACACCTCTCTTTCACCCATTCCCCTTGTCCCAACTATCTCCTACCAGCACTCCTCAAGTTTTCCCTGAATCCCCAAGAAAACAGACACAGGGCTGTGCTGCACCCAAGCAGCTTCTGGGGACACCCGCTGTGGCCGGACAGGATGTGGCCAGCCCACCATGGGCACCTCTCAGTTAAGTCTCTCTGTTGGACACACTGCCATCCCCCCATCATCTCTGGAGCACTGGTGGAAAGGGGGTGCCCTTCTCCCAGGCCCCCTGGTTTCTCCCCTGCTGTCTCCCCTTCACTGCCACCGCTCGCTTCGCTCCTGTACAAAAGCCAGGGCTCGTCCCTTCTCATCCTCATGCCTTTCTCTCCGGGTTTATTGTCATCAGACACAGCAGGCAGGGGGAGAGGTGGAGAGAGAGGGGGAGGTATTCAGCTCGGTGCCTTCTCTTGTAACCTGTGCCTGACCAATCTGTCTCCCGAGGGGCTGTGGGGAGCTCCTCCCGCCCTGGCATCTCCTCACCCCTCCTCGAGCCCCTTAGCTCCTGGCACCCGGAGAGGGATGGCAGCAAGGGTGGGAGGAGGGGGAGAGAGGGACTGACAGCAACTGCCCTTTCTCCAGGATGGGTTGAGAGAAACGAAAACCTCCCGAGCTCCTTCCTCTGGGTGTTTTGGAGCAGATCCTGCCTGCCTGGCGGGGTGACTCCTCTGCACTGTCTGTGCGCGTTCCTGTGCGTGTGCTGCTGCCATCGCAGATGTACCCCCAGCTGTCACTTCACCGCGCACAGTCTCTCCCTCTCCCGCCTCTCTCTCTCTCTTTCTCTCTCCCCCTATTTATTATTTACGGAGGATTACAGTCCCTTTCCCACGCTGTCACCTCGCCGTGCGGCTCCTCTGCCCTCCACGCGGGGTGAGCGGCTGGCTAGGGGGGGCTCCTGCCAGCGAGGGTCCACCGAGAGCCCAGCTGGCAACAGAGGGACTTTTCTGCTGGATTTGTTTTGGGATTGTACCGGCTTCACTGGAAGAGCTGCTATTCTCACAGGAGGGTCCATTCCAGCCCGAGAGAGGTAAGTAAAGACATCTCTCTTTTGCGTTTTCCCCCCCATCCCCAGCTAAGCGAGATCAGTGGAGCTGCCCCCCAGGAACCGGCTTCCCCGGGGAGGAGAGTGTCAGCAGGGGCAGCACTGTCTGCCAGACAGCACAGTGCACAAGTCTCGGCTGTGCCAGA